TGGTGTTTCGGGATGTGGAACCAGATGTTCACCTAGGAGAAGACAGACAGGCAGAAGAGGGCTGGGCACAGAGCCTGGGGGAGAAGGGTCTTAAATCTCCCACGAGAACTCCAAGGATGCTCAACGTGCAGGAGTGGCTGCCTGCATCCCTCTGCGTTTCTGACTGTCGCTTCAAACCTCAGAAGCAGCTGATTCACGTGGCGGAGCTGCAGGGCTCCACATCAGCTGGTGAAGAGTATTTCTCCCTCTGCCCGCCCAGCCTGGAATTCCTCCTCCTGAACCCAGCGTCACAGAGGGACCCCTTTATGTCTTTATGTCTCCATCTTGAAATCTTTTTTTTTCAGAATTTTCATGCGCATTTTCAGGTGCTTTCCAAGCAGCCCCATCTTGGCAATCAATAATTCTAATTTTGGGGCTTCCCTGGTGGCGCAGTGGTTGAGAGTCCGCCTGCCGATGCAGGGGACACGGGTTCGTGCCCCGGTCCGGTAGAATCCCGCGTGCCGCGGAGCGGCTGGGCCCGTGAGCCATGGGCGCTGGGCCTGCGTGTCCGGAGCCTGTGCTCCGCAACGGGGAGAGACCCCAACAGTGAGAGGCCCGCATACCGCAAAAAAAAAAAAAAAAAAAAAAAAAATTCTAATTTTGAAGTATCAGAAATATTGCTTTGAAACTATTTGAGTTTACTTGAGGGCAGACTTTTTATTTCGCAAGCCTAATGCAACTTCTGGAATTTAAAATGAAAGCGGTAGCCAAACTTGCACAATCTGCTGGTGGGAGAGTACTAACTGATACGATCTTTCTGGAGGGGAATGTGACAAAATTTTCTACATCCGTTTAGGATACAGAAAGTCACAGCAGATTGTCATTCTGACCCTGCAATGAGAACAAGTAGGATAAGCTAAAAAAAGAGAGGGGTTTGAAACCCACCAAAGAACTGAGGGTACAAATAAACTAAACTCCAGAAAGGACCAGCCACTCCTCAGAGAGAAAACACCCATGACTCCTTTCACCCTTGAAGAGTCTTGGGCAGAGAAGCAGATTCATTCTACACAGGGGTATGGAGAAAACAAGCGATTGCTTAGTAGCCACGTGGACCGATCCCATGGATTTGCATCCCAAGAGCCTCAGTCACAGAGCGAGTCTGCACCCGTCCTCGTGGGCCTTCACACGTTGCACAGGAAGCACCCCAAAGCTGGGAGTGAGGCAGGAGAGCTGTGTGATATGCCCCGAGGGATGCAGGGTCTTCCCTAAGTGTCAGGCAGCTGTTCCCCGTGCCTGAGTACAGACCAGCGGCAAACCCCTCTGAAGCATACGGGGCCCTCACCGAGTGCACCTCAGCAGCCCACTGCAATTGCAGGCAGGGCGGCAGGGCGGAGGGCGACCTCCTAAGGTGCACGAAGCTAGCAGCTGAGCTGGAGGACAAACAGAGCTCCCCAGAAACCCTCCAAAAGTGGCAGGAGGGCTGGAAAGCAGAGAGCCCGCCACAGGATGCCAAGCTGGCAGCTGGACTCTGAAGCAGAGATGGCTGGAGTCTCAGCAGTGCTCAACTCGCAAGGCCTGTTGAAGGGAAGCATTTGAAACAAGAGGTCACGTGAATCTAACCAAAACTGCAACCAGATCCAGACAGAGCTCAACTGAGAAATTAAACTGAGCCAGCCCACCTCACCAGCAGCCTGAGCAGAAGGGCTTTACCACCTTTTTCTGGTGGTAAATATGATTTACTTCTGTCTCTGCTCTGTTTTACACATATGTCTGGTGTTAAATCCCTTTAAAATTGCAAGACAAGTAAACAAAGAAAAGGTGACCTGATCAAGAGCAAAAAAGAATCATGGAAGACCCACAGAGAGAACAGATGTAGAAACGATCAGGTATTTAATCCAAGAATGACAAATATGTTAAAGAGATTAAGGGAAAACTGACAAAATGCTGAACACGAAGGGAATTTCAGCAGAGAAGTGGAAACTATTTTTTTAAAGCACATGAAAAAGCTAGAAATTAAAAATACAATATCAAAGCGAAGAGCTCACTTAATTTGTTTAACAGCAGAACTGTACACAGCAGAAGAAAGGACTAGTGAATAGAAAGTCAGGTCAACAGAAATTATTCAAATTGAAACATAAACATAAAGCAAAAAACATCTTAAAAGGAAACAGGGTGTCTAATATCTGTAGCTTACAGATTCACCCATGAATTGTGCTTTCTTTAATATGAGTCATATAAGTACATATCTACACGTGTGTGTGCATGCATGACGTGCATGAGAGACAGGCCAGCCAAACACTTAATGGTGACCAACTCTGGAGAGAAAAGGGGTGCTAGGAGACATTATATATGTATGTATATAATTTTTATTTAAATATATTTGTTTCTATATATATAATTTTTATTTACAAAAGAAAAAAATAATTCAGTACATAAAAAACATAAATAAAAGGCAAATGACAAATGAAAAAAGATACTGATGGCACATAAGGCAGATAAAGGATTAATATTTTTAATACAGAGAGCTCATACAAATAACTAAAAAGACCAACCCACAGTGGGTAAATGGGCAAAGGACATGAACAGGCAGCTGACAAAAGAAAGACATAAACATGATGAACTTGACAATCAAAGTTAACCTCACCATTAGAGAAATGCAGATTAAAATCACAACAGAAGGGCTTCCCTGGTGGCGCAGTGGTTGAGAGTCCGCCTGCCGATGCAGGGGACGCGGGTTCGTGCCCCGGTCCGGGAAGATCCCACATGCCGCGGAGCGGCTGGGCCCGTGAGCCATGGCCGCTGAGCCTGCGCGTCCGGAGCCTGTGCTCCGCAACGGGAGAGGCCACAACAGTGAGAGGCCCGCGTACCGCAAAAAAAACAAAAAAAAACAAAGAAAAAAATCACAACAGAATATTGTTTATGCATATCAAATGGACAAAATGTAAGAGATAATATTCTGTGTTAGGATATTCAGAAACAAGTACTTGTAAATATCACTTGTGGGGATGTGCAGTACAAGCTTCCAAAAGGCAATTTGGTGGCGCTCACGAGCCTTAAGGGTGTGGATGCCCTTTACTACAGTAATCCCACTTCACTCCATTCTTCTTGGTACTGTCAGAAAGCTAGTTAAACTGAGATACATCCGAAGTATACTCTAGGCGTGGAGCTATTGGGCTGGAAGACATTTATTATGGATGATAAATGTTTGTGTTGGAAATTGCCAGTTATCCCTCAACATCCATTCTCCCTTCTTTCCTGAGATTTGGACAGACACATGGCCCACTTGAAATAGTCTCTCTGGTAGATGCCTGTGGCCTCTCACTGATGCAGGTGAGCACAGGTGGCGAGCGTGACTTCTGACTAGAATGCCTTTCTTCAGGTCCATCCTTTCACTACGTCCCACTGAGTCCTTCCCGTTCCCCTCAGGCTGTGCACTCATAGCGCTTTGTACGTGCTTCTGGACCGGCACTGGTATTGTTCTGCTGGAATTCCTCCTCTCCCTCTCAAGACTGTGGGATCCTTCAGGGCAGACCCTCTACCGGACCCGTCTCTTTATCCTCCGTCCCTGTGATAGTTCTTGTCACATATTAGGGCTCAGAAAATGTTTGTGAAGGAAGGGAGGGAGGGAGGAATGGACAAATGAAAAGACACATTTTTGGGAAATTATAATGTCAAATTTTGTTGCTTTAAAACTGAATGATCCAAATAAGTTAAAATTTTACGTCCACACAAAAATCTGCATGCAAATGTCTATAGCAGCTTTATTCATAATTGCCAAGGCATGAGAGCAACCAAGATGTCCTTCAGTAGTGAATAAACTGTTGTACATCCATACAAGTGAATTTTTTTTTTTTTTTTTTTTTGGCGGTACGCAGGCCTCTCACTGTTGCGGCCTCTCCCGTTGTGGAGCACAGGCTCCGGACATGCACACTCAGCGGCCATGGCTCACGGGCCCAGCCGCTCCACTGCATGTGGGATCTTCCCGGACCAGGGCACAAACCCACGTCCCCTGCATCGGCAGGCGGACTCCCAACCACTGCACCACCAGGGAAGCCCCATACAAGAGAATATTATTCAGAGAAAAAAAGAAATGAACTATCACATCATGAAAAGACATGAAGGAGCCTTTAGTGCATATTGCTAAGTGAAAGAAGCCAATGTGAAAATGCTATGGACTGAATGATTCCAACTAAATGACATTCTGAAAAAGGCAAAACTACGGAGACAGTAAGAAGACCAATGGTTGCCTGGATTGCGGCGGGGAGGGATGAATAGGCAGAGCACAGAGGATTCTTAGGGCAGTGAAACTACTGTGTATGAAGCAGTAACGGTAGACACATGTCATTATACGTTTATCAAAACCCAAAGAACGTACAACACAAAGAGTGTGAACTCTAATAATGTGTCAATAATGGCTCATCAATTCTAATGAATGTACCACACTAATGCCAATGCTGCTAATAAGGGAAACTGGGGATGGGGAGTGAAGAGGTGTATGGGAATTCTCTGCACTTTAGCTCAGTTTTTCTGTAACCCTAAAACTACTCAGGGAGTTCCCTGGCAGTACAGTGGTTAGAACTTGGCACTCTCACTGCCATGACCCAGGTTCTATCCCTGGTCAAGGAACTAAGATCCCACAAGCCACACAGTACGGCAAAAAAAAACACAAAAAAAACAAAAAAAAAACCTACTCGAAAAATATAGCCTATTAATTAAGAAAAAACTGAGGAGTGAGGCAGTATACTAGATAACATAGTAGTTAATTCCACGGATCCCGGAATCACACTGTCTGGGTACAAATCTCAACCCTGCTACCTAAAAGCTATACAACTTTTGGGCAAGTAGCTTGATAAACCTGTATCTCAGATTCCCCATAAAGAAAACTGGGACAATAACAGAATTTATTTCACAGCTTTACTGTGAGGATTAAATGTCATGTGAGGCCTTTGTACAGAGTCTAGTACATACTAAACATACGTAACAATATCTACTGTTAGCATCATTTGCTCAGGAATACTCACATGAAGAAGGTCTGAACACATTTTGGAAACCATTCCTTGAATACACTCTACATGGTGAAGAGTGGGGTCTGAAATGCGTGAATTTTTGTGTGTGAGGATACAAAGTATGCCAATCTGGTACAACTGCCATTTTGCACGTTAAAACCCTGTGATATTAAAAAAAAAAATAGGTTACATTATCTTCAAGCACATCCTACAAATGTGGCCAACCTCCTATCTATTCCTCTTCTGAGAGGGCAGCTGGAGACTGTAGAAATGCCGCTAGTCATGACCTTCATGCCAATATTTCAAAGACTATTCTTAGAGGGAACACAGAATTGTGATTTTAGACTCACTTTTACAGCAGATCCAATAATCTTCAAAAATGGGACAACAAAGAGGCATTTGGATAGGAAAATCCACCTGCACCTCAACTACCAGTGACTCATTTTCTGGGGGGGTGGGCAGCAGGGGTGGAAAGTGTGGGTACTCTGAGCTCTCCTGAAGTGCCTCACTGTACATCCAACACACAGTCAGAGGCACAGCTGGGGAAAAGAGCACCAAAAATGGTGGAGGAAGGACCTCTGAAAATCATCTCCAAAAAAGTAAGGAGAACACTGGCGAAAACTGTCCGAATCAGCTGTTTCAGAACTCTGGAAATTAACCAAAGGTTTGCAGCAATCTGGGGGGTGCTTACTCATGAGAGATGCCAGAATCTCAGAATGAACACCAAGTTGTATGGCATTTTAACTTCTCCTATTCCCATCTCCCCTCACCCCCAAATCTGCAACAGCCTTGAAACCAACATCCTACAATCACAGTGAAAACCCAGCAGCCTGCCGGTCACTGGAAGGGAAGGAATGGGGTTGAAGCTCCTTCCAAGCCCCATTATCAGAAAATTTTCATCGTATGACTTACCTGATGGCTCCCTGAAAGACCCCTCTCACAAGGCTGTCTTTATTAGAACTGACTCAGAGCTTGCCCAGTGAGAACAAGCTATTGTCAAAAGGCATTTGTTGAAAAAAATTCAGGGGCAATTGTTTAAAATTTTAGTTGCCTGAACGGGTGGATAACAGACAGAGCAAATAATAGCCTAACCAAAAAGCTTAAACCGAAAAGCTGGGGAATGAGACGTCCGTAGCGGCTTTGAGAAGCCCCCACATATTCCTGGGAATCTAGAAGGCTGTGAGCATGCCTAGGAAAGACCTGAGAAGGCCCTAAGCTCCCAGCTCTGGCTGACCTTGAGGCTCTGCGCAAGCAGGAGGTGGAGGCTGAGGCTGTAAACTGCCTGGCTGAGGGTTGACAGAATGCTCCAACACACACCAAGAGCCCCTCGGCAAAGACTGGAAAACTGCTGCGTCCAGGCGTTTAAGGAAAGCTCTGTCCCATCACACACTGACCAATAAGCTAACTGGTCAGGGACTTCAGTGGCCACACGTGACAAACAATACAGACCGTACCAAGTTAATTTAGAAAAGTCACTAAACAAACAAAACATGGAAAGGAGGGAGAACATGATTTTGAGAACTGCCACATTCTTAAAATGTCTAGTTTTCAACAAAAATTTTATGAGACGTGCAACAAAAAAAAAGTACGCCTACACATACGTATCTTCAGAAACCATACAAGCAAGGAAAGAGTGGGATGAAACGTTTAACCTGTCAAAGGGAAAAAACCCACCAACCTAGAATTCTGTATCCAGCAAACAGCCTTCAGAGTTAAAGACAAATAAAGACTTGATCATACAAACAAAAATCGAGGAAATGTCACCAGCAGACCTGCTTGTAAGCAGACCTGCTTGTAAGAAGTACTAAAACAACTTCTTCAGAGAGAAGAAAAAATCATATGGGTCAGAAACTCAGACCACCTAAAGAAAGAAAGAGCATTAGAGAAAGAATAAATGAAGGCAAAATAAACATATATGCACCTAATAACAGAGCCCCAATATACATGAAGTAAAAACTGGTGAACTGAAAGGAGAAACAGACACTTCAACAATAATAGCTGGAGACTTCAGTGCTCACTTTCAGTACAGACACAACAATTAGCCAGAAGATTAACAAGGAAACAGAACACTTGAACAACGCTTTAAACCAATTAGACCTAACAGACATCTATAGAACACTCCACCCAACAACGGTAGAATACACCTTCTTCTCAAGTGGACGTGGAACATTCTCCAGGATAGACCATTTGTTAGGCCATAACACAAGTCTCAATAAATTTAAAAGGACTGAAAACATCAAAGGATGTTCTCCAACCACACGGGAATGAAATCAGAAATAAGTATCAAAAAAATGAGATAATTCACACATATGTGGAAGTTAAACAACACACTCTTAAATAACCAATGAGAAATTAGCAAATACTTTTAGATGAATGAAAATGAAGGCACAACATACCAGAACTTATGGGATGCAGTTAAAGCAGTGCTTAGAGTAAAAATTATAGCTGTAAATGTCTATATTAAAAAGGAAAATTTCAAATTAATAATTTAACCTTCTTCCTCAAGAAACTAGAAAAATAAGAGTAAACTAATCCCAAAGTGAGGAGAATGAAGGAAATAATAAAGATTAGAGCAGAAATAAATAAAATCAAATTTAGAAAAACAATAGAGAAAGCCAACAAAATTAAAAGCTCTTTAAAAGATCTGCAAACTGCCAAATTTTTAGCTAGACTGACCAGGAAAAAGTGAGAAACACTCAAATTACTAAAATCAATGAAAGAGAAGACATTACTATTGACCTCACCAAAAAAAGGATTCTAAGGGAATACTATGAACAATTAATTGTATGCCAACAAATTAGATAACCTACATGAAATGGAAAATTCTTTAAAAAATGCAAGCTACTGAACCTGACTAAAAAGGAAACAGAAAATCTGAATAGACCTAAAACAAAAGACTGAATTAACAGTCAAAAAACTTCTTGCAAAAAAACCCAGGACCAGATGGGTTCGCTGGTGAATTCTACCGAGTATTTACAGAAGAATAATTAAAACCAATTCTTCAAAAACTCTTCCAAAAAACAGAAAAGGAGAGAACACTTCCCAACACATTCTATGAGGCCAGTATGACATCAATACCAAAACCAGGCAAAGACACCAAAAGAGAGAGAGCTAAAGGCTAATGTTCCTTATGGATACAGGAAATATCCTCAACAGAGCACAAACATACTGAATCCAGCAACACTAAAAAGAATCAGACATAATGACCAAGTGAGATTTATCCCAGGAATGCAAGAATGGCCAAACATAGGTGGTCACAAGGCACCGGAGCTGATCTCCCTGTGCTATGCAGCTGCTTCCCACTAGCTATCTAGTCTACCAAATGTAAATTAGATAACTAGTGGGAAGCAGCTGCATAGCACAGGGAGATCAGCTTGTGCTTTGTGACCACCTAGAGGGGTGGGATAGGGAGGGTGGGAGGGAGATGCAAGAGGGAGGGGATATGGGGATATATGTGTACATATAGCTGATTCACTTTGTTATACAGCAGAAACTAGCACAACATTGTAAAGCAATTATACTCCAATAAAGATGTTAAAAAAAGTAAAAAATTAAATTAAAATATATGCCCCTAAAAAAAATGAATGTAATATACACCACATTAATAGAATCAAGAAAAAACGCATGATCAACTCAACTGATGCAGAAAAAGCATTTCACAAAATCCTACACCCTTTCACGATAAAAACACTCATAAAACTAGAAATAGAAGGGAACTTCCTTGACCTGACAAAGGGCATCAGTGAAAACCAATAGCTAACACCATACATAATGATAAAAGAATAAAGGATAAAAGTTTTCCGCTAAGATCAGGAACAAGGATGTCTATTCAACATTGTACTGAAGGTTCTAGCCAGGGCAACTAGGCAAGAAAATAAATAAAAGGTATCCAGATTGGAGACTAATAAGTAAAACTATCTCTATATGCTGATAATATGACTTTGAACGTATAAAATCCTTGGGAACACACACATAAACACACACAAAAACACACAAACACACACAACTATTAGAAATAATAAACAAGTTCAGTAAGGTGTAGGATACAAGATCAATATACAAAAATCATTTAAAACTTAAAAATATATATATACAAAAATCAATTGTAGTTCTACACAACTGCAATGAACACACTGAAAAGAAAATTAAGAAAACAATTCCATGTACAATAGTATCAAAAAGAATAAAATACTTAAGAATAAACTTAACAAAAAGTACACAATTCATACACTGAAACTACAAAGTATCACTGAAAAGAAATTAAAGAAGATCTGAATAAACGGAAAGACATCCCATGTTTACGAATAAGATTATAATACTCCTCAAATTGATCGACAGATTCAATTTAATGCTCATCAAAATCTCAGCTGCCTTTTTTGCTGAAATTGACAAGTTTAGCCTAAAATTCATATAGAAATTTAAGAGATTCAGTATAGCCAAAATAATCTTTAAAAAATAAAAACAAAGTTACAGGACTTACACTTCCTGATTTCAAAATTTACTACAAAGCAACAGTAGTCAAGACAGTGTGGTGCTGGCATAAGGAGAGACATGCAGATCAATGGGATAGAATGGAGAATCTGGAAACAAACCCTTAAATGTAGCATTAACTGATTTTTGACAAGGGCTGCAAGATCATTCAATGCAGAAAGAATAGTCTTTTCAACAAATGTGGATATCCACATGCAAAAGAATGAAACTGGACCCCCACTTCATACCATATAAAAAAATTAACTCAAAATCAACCAAAGACCTAAATTTAAGAACTGAAGCTAGAGAGATTGGTTCAAGATGGCAGAGTAGAAGGACGTGCGCTTACTCCCTCTTGCGAGAGCACCAGAATCACAACTAACTGCTGAACAGTCATTGACAGGAAGACACTGGAACTCACCAAAAAAGATACCCCCACATCCAAAGACAGAGGAGAAGCCACAATGAGATGGTAGGAGGGGTGCAATCACAATAAAATCAAATCCTGTAACTGCTGGGTGGGTGACTCACAAACTGGAGAACACTTATACCACAGAAGTCCACCCACTGGAGTGAAGGTTCTGAGCCCCACATCAGGCTTCCCAACCTGGGGGTCTGGCAATGGGAGGAGGAATTCCTAGAGAATCAGACTTTGAAGGCTAGTGGGATTTGATTGCAGGACTTCGACAGGACTGGGGGAAACAGAGACTCCACTCTTGGAGGGCACACACAAAGTACTGTGCACACCGGGACCCAGGGAAGGAGCAGTGACCCCAGAGGAGACTGAATCAGACCTACCTGCTCGTGTTGGAGAGTCTCCTGC